TAAGATACCACACTACTATTACACTGGAAGCAGCCTCCACATCACTGTCAGACTCCTCAGGATCTGTCCCTTTTTAATCACTTCGTGCATTGTCCACCATTTTTGTTGCATTTTCTGAGCAAGCTCAAAGTTTCCTCTTTAGAGTCCTTCATCAAGGCAAATATAAAGTCAAACAAATCCCAAAGTATGCAGCAGGACTTAGATACTACAGCAGCAGCCCTACAGAGGAAGTAAGGAAGAACAGGACTTTTTAAACAACTTCTCCTTTTTTACGAGCTCTTGCAGGCCAGCATTGTAAAGTGAGAAGTTACAGAATCAAGATGCAGTTTGATGCAAATTATTCACTATATCAGATTTTCAAACTCAGTATTAAAGGTTCAGTATTAAGTTGGGTACTTTGAAAAGCTTGTTGCTATAGGCTTCTTTTTCTCCCTAGTAGTTACATGGAAAAGACACTGTAACACTATACAGCAGAGCTGAGCCTAACTCCTCTGCAACAGTTCCTCCATAAAAGTGATGATGGAGGTTCTAAGATGTCTTGGATCTGTTTGTTTTGTAATAGAGACAACTACCAGGAGTCTTAAGATTGTTTATTAGGAATATTAAATTAGCCTGTCCCGTGGATCAAATTCTACAGAGGCAGCTATTGGCAAGGTATGTCCACTGAAGTTCTGTCACTGGGTTCATGTTAGATTTAGTGACAGAGGTGGTTCAAATCTCAATAAATTCAGTTCATCTTTCCATCTTTTAGACTATAAAGATGAGATAAAGACGTGAGACTTTTTCTGAACATAGCTTAATTTCTGGGATAGAGTTTTGGAATACAGACACTGAAATATAACTTCATGAAAAATTTGGAAAAAATCTTTTGGCTTCTCTTTTATAGAGGAAGTGTCCATGACTGCAGCTGTACTTAGACTGTCTGCAATAATTATGTACACTGTTGCATAGCTATTTTAATTAATGCTAACCTAGGACCTCTTAAACTATATGAAGACTTCTGACAGTGAAAATATTGCCAGTAAAATTTAAGACATTTATGTCTGTAACAGAAATGGTATCCTGGACTGCATGCATTGGCTTTAAAAACACAGGCTATCAAAGAGTAAAAGCTGATGTTTCACAAGGTAACTTATCTTAAACCTTGTACTCCACAGATTTTAAGAGTAAGGGAAGACTCATACCCAAGTTAGGGTGAGCCCTTCTGTTGACAAAACAATGATTTCATTTATTACCAATAGTGAAGATTTACATCTAAAACTCACAGTCTTAGTTTCATGCAAGTTATTTAGTTTTGATTCTGGGTCTTACTGCAGACTTGTTCTTGGTTTTCATGCCAACAGCTGTTTTCCTGTTAGTCCTGTTCTATCTCTGAATGAAGCAAAGGTTGCACTATTTGGAATACCACACACACAGAGAAAAAAAGGCTCCCTTTCTCTTCTTTCACATTGCGTGACATCACTTACATACAATCATTTCTCTCCATACCCCCACACTTTATGAACCAAAATTATTAATAACATTTGGTGCATGATATTGCACAATCTTGGGATCTGTAAACAAACAGAGTTAGTGTTTAAAGCCCAAAGCCCGAATACACACATGCTGTAGCTCAACGCTTGGCTTTGCATATGTCTTTCTAACTCTAGAGGAAGCCAGAGGAAGCATTCTTAAGCAGTGTCTCTCAGACATGGCAGCAGTGCTGCAACATGATTTCTGCTAGATGCTGCTGGCTCTGAGCCATCTTCCCCTTTACACAACACGCCTCTCTGTCCCTTAGTGCAGAGGGGTTAGGTATGTTGTGCAATACACTTTCAGCCTAAACTAGTCTTCTGCACACTCCTCGCCTGTGGGTTCTGCTGGGGGCCAGGAAAAAGTGATGCGTGTTTGACATCTGGCTAGACCACTGCCATTTCCTTCTCATCACACAGATTCTCCACCCCTGGGAGAGATCTCAGCGGGGTTTAGGGGAAGGCAGGTGATGTTGAGGGAAGATGATGTGGACACAAAAGAATTTGTCAGCAAGGTGCTTGCAAACATAGATCTCGGAGACACAAACAGGCATTCCCACATCTGTTAAATGGTATTTTCATAATTTTTATATGAATCTCAGTATGTAATTGTAAGCATGCAGTTTTCCAAAATACTGTTGTATTGTGGAAGTGGGAAAGCAAATAATCAATGCTATGGAATACACAGAGAACTATTAAGACATCATTCTTCTCCAGAGACCTTTCAACATAGTGAAAGAATGATTTAAGGTTTTATACTGCTCTAGGGTGGCAAGTCAAGCAAGGAGACTGGATATGGTAATCAAAATGAAATTGAAATTTGTCTTAGAGAACAATACTTTCCAGAAGCAATGTCATGAAGAGAGGACATGGGCATTAGCAAGTCAAGTATCAACCCACATCAGAAACCATAAGAACAGCTTTAGGAGCATTACCTGCCATGTGCATGCACACAAAGAAATGAGTCACTATATCACAAGGGATGAAACCATTACAGTTAGTTAACACTGCAGGCAATATATTCACACAGCCTTACTCAAAGTCATGCCCCAGCACATGTAAGGCTCAGCAAAAACCTGGCGTGTTTCCAGCAGGCCTGAAAACAGTGCTGCGCTTCGGAACGTATTGCCAGGGAGAATGGTTTGACTAAATGCCTCTGCAGCTTAACCACCGACACCTACAAGGTCATGCAGGCAGTTCAGTGCTTGTTCTATGATTTTTGTTAGAGCAATGGCCAGAGGAATCCGAGTGTGATCCATAACGCATCATGGCAGGTACTTAATTATCTGCAAGTCTACATATAAGTATATGCAAGTACATATAAGTAGTACTGTGTACTACTACAGATGAAGTAAGAAGATTGAAGTCTGCCATGAAATATCGATGTTTGAAGGAGAGCAGCATAGATACATCTTGGTCAAATGTTTTGATAGGCAAACAGAAAAGGGAAGAAATTGGTTTCTGTTAGTCCCAGGCTAATTTCCTGCTCAAATCCTGTCATACCACTAATAAAGCAGATGACTAGTTATCCACAGAGGTTTCTATTACCTTATTATTTTTTTAAACTCAATCCTATGACTCATTTACACAGCCCAGGAACACATAGTGCATGTTCCTGTTTCCATTTCTCTCACGTTTCTATTTATGTTTAATTTTTTATATCCTTTCTTCCAGTTAAAAAAACTGTTGAAGAGATCACCCTATTATATGGCAGCAGGACCTCCTAAGATCAATTCTGAACCACCATCATAATTCATAGCTGTGCTGTGGAGCAACATTCAGTCACAGCGAAAGTATTCTTGAGCTGGGAGCATCAAGCTTTGTCACCCTTGGGCCCTTCTCAAGCAGAGCAGCACAATGTTGTCAGCCTTCCTATCACTTGTGGACTGTGATTCCCCAAAGTGATAGCAGCAGCAGGGGAGGTGCCCTTCCTCACCTCACTCTCCTGAAAGGCTCATCTTGGGTATTAGCCTACCTTTTGAAATAAGCATTCATGATAGTCAGTATTTTCATAACACTATTGCCTTAAAGCCTTTTTTTCAAAAGTAGCTTTCTGTTTCTAGGTGCTCAACCTGAGCTCACTTTCAACAACTGCCTACTGACAAGGGGTGTCTAAGAAATGTGCTGGGACAGGCACTTCATGGTCATTTGGCACATCCATCCTATCTGTTTCAAGACAGGCATCCAAAAATCAAGATAAATTAACTTAAGTGAATGAATGTTCAAGACAGGAGTCTGGAACTTTCCCCTGGCCAAGGAGATTGTCAGTGGCAGAGATGAAGTGTTCTTCCTTCCCAGTCCTGCACTTATCTCCCTGACTGTCCCACCTCAATACCAAAATAATTTTTCATAATTACGTTCATTATTACAAACACTAATGCATAATTTTCCAGGTACAATTCTGCTTCCCTTGCAGGGGTTGGAGAGGGAGAAGAAATGAAACATATCTTGCTATGCTATCTTCCCACAAGGTAAAACTGCAATAGTGAGGGATTCTGTTATGGGACAGAGCAATTAAAAGGGAAAAAGAAAGAAGACCATGATGCTTCTTTATCCAAAAATGTATGGAGAATCCTTTAGGTTGAGTGTTTGAGTTTGCAGAGAGAGGAGAGGGAAAGGAGCTTATCTCTCTTTTAATTTTCTACTTAGGGTTTTGTTGTTGGCTTTGACTGCTGCATAGCGGCTGCTACATTGCTCATCAGGTTGAGGCCCTGAACCACAGCAGTTAATCCCAGAACAAACTATTTGGGCTTGTGAAGTGGTGTGACACAGGATGCTAAATGACAATAGGCCACAGAAAAGGTCAAAAAACCCAGTGGGGGAAGCAATGCACATGTTGAGTGCTGTGAGAGCTGTGCTGAGTAGCTGCACGGATAACTGAGTTTGGGGGATTTCTCAGCTCTGCTCATTGCTCTTGGGGTTTGCAGTGCTGCAGGTAGCAAAGAAGAAAGGGGGAGGGGAAAGGGTCGGGCAGCACAGATGCACAGTAAGGAAGTAATTCTAAAATGTGATGGCGCTGTGGCAGCTGCATGACAGGTTAGGGGGCTACAGGGAAGTAAGTTTGTGCTTTTGCCTTTAGCAAAGAAGGTCTGGGAGCAAATGGGGATACTCCACAGCAATGTGAAAAAGAAAAAAAAAAAGAAAAGTATGCATATAGCTATATGATTAATGCCACTTGGTGCATGGGACAGATCCCTCTGAGCCATACACTAGTCTTTGCCAACTATGTCATGCAGACCAAGCTAGAAGCAATCTAAAGTAGTGGGCACCCTGAGGTGATCTTAGTTCACATTATAGCAACAAACTTAGTATTTATCAAACCAGAACTCTCAAAGAGTAAACACTAAGCACATGCAAATCATTGAATTGACAACTTCTATGAATATGTAATTTTACATCACTCTAAGGTACCTCGACTCTGCCATTTGTTGAAAACTTGTATTGTTTGCTCTGTAAAACTGTAATAGGCCACCTTTCAGGGCAGCTTACCAAGCCAGGTTCTGCAAGTGTACTGGAAGAACATCTCCATTCTGTGGGAATGCCTTCCTCCTTTCTGTGCACGGAGAGGAGGCATATTTGGGCAGCGGTTACATCTCTGTGAAGACTACTCTTTCACACCTCTGATGACTGGAATCCTGAGAAGGGAGGAGTGGCTGTCAGATATAGTAATGCTCCAGTCCCGCAAAGGCTTACATTATATATTAATATCATAAAAGCTAGTATTTATCCAAGAGAATCACAGCCCAGGCCGGCTGCAGTCACAAGCAGTCCATGGCAGCACTTAGGCTGGGGTTGAGAGGCTGAGATACAAACAGTCATTTTCCAGGGGGTCATCAACCAAACCCCAGCTGCCACCCAGGACAGCCCCTTTGCTGGCTGCAGCCTACATTCAGAGAGGGGCAGTTCACAGAGAAGAGCCAACACAGACATCTGGGCACAGAGGCGTCAGGCCTGGGAGTCACAGGGCCACAGAAAGGCAGATTACCTGCAGCTAGCCAACAGCAATGCAAAAGCAAGTAATATCAGGAATATGTCTTGAATCATCTGCTTCCCCAACCATTTTGGCACATCCCTGGTGAACAGCTATCCACAGCCCTCCACTGCCATACCTAGAAGCTGGTATATATCTTTTCCCAAAGACACACGTGCCAATTTTTTAATTTTTCTCTTTCTATGTTACAGCCCAATGATTAAGACTGGAATTGAAACCCTGTCGCCCTGGAGAGGATTCAATCACAGATTTTGTGCTTCAGGACACTTCAACCACCAAACCCCCCGATACTGCAGAAGAGCAGGAGGTGAGGATGGGGGGAAGGCAGGGAACCTCCATGCTGAAGAGGCTCCAAGCTGCAGAGACCTGAGGCAGCAGCAGCTCTCACATCGCTCGGCTGTAGCCTGCTGGCTGGCCCTGTTAGTGCAGAGAGAAGTTTGGATCCTAGCTCTAGCTCCAGGGACATCCCTGTGTTTCATGCTACAAAATCATTACCTAAAAAACTCCATGTCAAAGCCTAAGTCAGAAAATTTTCTCCTGGTGGATTTTAAGCAGAGCAAATTGGCCAACACAACAGTTTAAAGGGCTTAAATTTTGCACATAGGCAGACTGGAAGTGGCTATATCTTTTTGCTGACTCTCTCTTAGTCTCTAAGCATCAGTTTGCCTATCCTTCAAATATAAATTATTATTCTTCATTTTTTATGACAATATCTGTTCTATGAGTAAACAGTTAAACGTACAGGTGAAACTCAGGATATCAAGTTTCTTTATTTGACATGTAAAATAGACCAAGAAAGGATGGTGGAGATAAAATAGCTGCTCAGCAGAGCCATGCAGAAAGGAAGCGATGAAAAAGAGTCACGAAATAAATTTGGAAGACAGCATGTGTAGGACGAGCATCCACATACATAAGTATCTGGCAAATATAAGAAAGATTTTTATTAATTCCCTATTTGTTTTGTAGCTTCACCGATAGAGGAGAAAACACAATGGTATGAGGCTGGATCTACTGCTCCGCGCGGCTCAAGGAGTTTAAGGCGTTTCACGGTGCTGTTCTCAGCTCTCCAGCACCCTCATCTGGACTTCGGCAGGCCAACCGCCGTCCTGCCTTTTCTGGTGCTCATCGCTGGCTGAATCAGTTAGTGTCAGGGCACTAAAGACAATGAAACATTTCTTTGCTCCTGTTAAAGCCTTAGAAAGTCTTTTTTTTTTTTTTTTTTTTTTTTAAATTCATTTTGCAGAAATTCAGAGGAGCCTTATGTCCTCTGCATAAAGCTATTCTTCTGAACACAAGCTAAGTATTTGGATTTGTTTTGAAGCCAATCATCCCTGACTTGCACACTATTTGCAATGCCAGGTTGTTAATTTTGAGCCTGGGTGTGTTAAAACAATTTTCCTTTTATTAATCTTTTACCTTGATGGCTAGCATTCAGATCACAGGATGATATGTTCCCGTACAGGACTTGAATCCCATATTACAGCTTGATTCCAAGTCAATGAAAGGCTCAACAGTACCTGGAAAGCAATCGCCAAGTTACTGTCATGCATACATCCCATAACAAACCTTGCCAGGATGAGGTCACGGCACCTTAAGCAAGTGCTCCCTCTTCATTTTCCTGGCTTTCACCCCACATGGTTTGTAGGTGCACAGAGGGACTTGTCAGCAGATGTTTCAGACAAGTACTCTGGCATGTAAGAGGAACCTGTAAAAATTCTTTTGGAAAGAATATCTGAAATTGGTTGCTTTTGAAATACATTATGTCACACTGCACTTACCAGAGGCAGCACCTTATGTACCTGGTGCTGCCTCACTACAGTGGATCAGCTATACTGATCCACTGTATGTTATACCCCACCACAGCAGACTTCAGCCAGCAGTTGGGCTCCTTTCCAGTATCACTTTTCAAATCTAAAGAAGCATGAACTTGAATATGGAAACAGAATGCCAACATGATATATTATCTTTTCTCCATAGTGACGAATGTAAATCTTACATTAGGGATGGAAAGTAACTTTGATGTGTAGTGACTGTAGAAAGAGGTTGTCCAAGTTTTTTTTTTATCTCAGGGAAGAATTACTGGCATAGAAAATCTACTTACTCCCTTCTCCACCTCTCCCCTGAAAAAAAAACCCAAACCTTTAAAATTCTGTTTGGAACTAGTGTTCAAAATCAAATAGGTAGAGCTGTAGAATATCAGCAGATTTTAAAGTACCTTCTCAGAAAACTATGCTCAGATATATTCAAGTTTTTTAATATCTCAACTAATACTGTGATATTGTCACTATCAGTTCAAATACTCCATAAAGTGCCTTGCCCTGAAATCAAACTGCTTATTTATTACCTGTTTAAGTACCACTCTATATTTACATGAAAAATTCCACATGAAGTTGAGGGAGAGTGCAGACACTTCCCATTGCCTTCTGCTATCACAAATGGGGCAAAGAAAGACAGTCATGCTTAGCAAAGATTCTCATTTTTCAGATGTGAAGACAAATCCTAGGCCTGATGTGCTTTACACACAAAGACTGAGTCCATAGTCAGATTTGAAATTTCAGCCTCTGTTTGAGAGAGTATCTCAGGCCAGGCTAGTCAATCAAAAAGTACAGAAGATATTAACAATTTGAAAGTAACAAATTTGTATTTGAATGAACTCACTTCCTGGCAAAAATCTACTAGCAGAAACTGCAATTAAGTTTCAAACAGATAAAAGCCTTATATAGATATTTCATTTATACACTTTCATAGTGTTAAATATTTAACATCACAAGGTTTAAAAATAAGATGAACAACTGATTGTTTCCTGGGACACTATGCCTGTTCACGGTTTGCTTTTGATTTAGAGACTATATTATGGACCCAGAGGTTACCATTTTCAATTTCTCTTACTCACTGCCATACAGGGAGGCTGCAAAGAAAACAGGTCACAGTGAGAGGCTGTTAGTCACACAGTCCTCCTGCTTCCTTCCTTCCTTCCTGTTGCACAAGCCTGTCAACTTTTCTGCTCTAAGGTGATAGATCAATATAAGAGTGACTGTCACCTTTATTATCTGACAAAATGGAGCTAAAAATAGCTACAGGGTTATTGTGACACGTACAGGGATACAGACCAATACAAATATTTATTTTCTGTTGGATATCACTTCTCAGTTTCTCTTTTTTCTTCCTTTTCAGTGCAGAACCACAGTGCTCACTGCTTACAACTGTTCTCCCAGTGGCTGTGTTCTCTGCAAAAGTCACAGAAAACTGATCTTAAATAGGATTTCTCTTACACTAACAATTTGTTAGCATCGTTTTTCCTTCCTGATTATTATGACTGGCAACAAAGGTTCTTAAAACATTTCATCTAGAACAGAACTTGCATTAAGGATTAAAAACTCGTCCTTGGTGGAGGCTTAGCTTCTGCTATAAAAACAAAACTTTGCACTGGGCGCTAGAGGGCACAACGAATATCCTTCGTATCCAGGGTATCGTAAAACCTCAATATACTACACCAAGACAGAACAATGTGTACAATAAACTTCATATTAATCCTAGAAAAAGGCATACGAAAATTTAAAATAATTCCTGAACAGTTATATTCTAATTAATTTCTTTTCCAAGATAGACTACTGTACCTTGCACTCTAACCCATAGTATGTAATTTATATGAAGAAAATGCACACACACATATACGTATGATATTAGTATTTCCACAGGCATTTATTTAACAGCTATTATGGATCACAGAATTGTGTGCTGTACCATCTGATAAAGTGGGGGGCTGGGGGGGCAAATGTTCATTTAGTTCAGTTGCTGAAGAAATCAATTAACCTAAGTGCTGTATGTGTTTGTACTTTACAGTGGCATCTATAATGATTTTGATTGTGTTTATGACTCATTTCACTGCCGGCTTGAAGCATCAAGCCTCACTATTTCGGAGTAGTTTAGTTCTTCAATGGAAGAGAGTTTCATTATATCCAATAAAGTATTATTAGCATGCAGATTTTAAAGTTAGGCCATAAGTTAACATAACTTGGAGGCAATAAAATGTGTTAGTTATTTTCTCTCTCTTCTATAATCGACTCATAATTTTTATTTCAACGCTTGCAAGATATTAGAAGAGAATGTCAAAAAAAGCACTTAGTTGGTTTTAGGTATTCAGATAACCTTTTACATACTCCTAACAATAGCTATGGCTTGAAAGGCTGTGGGAGTCCAAGTATTCTAAGAGGGGAGGACAGCATTCATCTCCCTGTAATCACCTAGTGCTGCCAGATGTCTGCTGTAAGCCAAGCAGTGGGTCTCCTTCCACTAGCATTGAAGAGATGGGAGGGATTTTTTTGATCAGTACTTGGCATGTTTTTGCCTTAGAAAACCACCTAGGCCCACATCAAACTCTTGAGTCCCATTTGGCTATAAATCTCTCTATAATGGATTATCATCTTGCTAGGGCTACTTTGCTGCCTTTCTCATACTTTCTATTTTCTTGGGTGCTTTGTTTGCCTTTATTTTTCATATCTCAGGCTTGCTTTGTCACATAAGGTTAATTCATCTGACCAAACTCCAAGCCTGCAGAAGACATCTAGTACAACACCACTGGAACCATAGCAATAGAATCATCTGACCTGGGAACTAAAGCATATTGTAAAAAAAAAAAAAAAAATTGAAAAAGGTAAGGTTAATATCCAAAGAAAATTCCTAAATTAAGGACACTTGCTTGTGATTTCCGGGAACAGTCGCTTAGTTTACAGTTTAAGTGTTTACCTTGACACAAACCACAATTTCCTGCTTATGAGAACTTTCTCTTTTCCTTCAGTTAATGCTAACTGTGTTTCCCTGCAGTAGGTATGAATTAGTTCTCAGAGGGAACTGTGACAAAACAAATTATTTTCTTTCTAGGCCAGATATTTAATAAAAATTAATAATAAATAAGAAAATACAGGCTTAAAATCACATAAATGACAGGCAAAAATGAGCTACTGCTACCTTAAAATCTTTCACCCAGTTGATGCCTAATCTTAGGTAAAGAAAGCATGGGTGTTTCTTCTACAGCAGAGCAGGAGCTGTGTATGCACGCAACTGCTGCTGCATGTTAAAGTTTTCAGCAATGCTTGACACAAAGACTGGAGCCTTGATGTTCCAAGGTCATCCCAGTGCCTAAGTAATAAAATCATGCCCGCATTCTCTCTTTTCCTTCATCAAAACCCAAGACATTTTTCTGCACTGAAATGCCTTCAATAAGAGCTGATGATGTGCCCACTCCAGAATAAACAACCTGCAGTTTGATGTGGAGGTTACTCTTTAAGAACAGGTGGTTGGTTTCCCTGAAGCTGAAGGCAGAATTAAGTCCAGTTCATGAACTTCCTAAATCAGTGGACAATAAGTGCGCAAATAGTGCAGCCGTGTAAAAAAAGAGGTGTCTCTGCCCTCCTCATCTATGTGTCCAACGCCTGCCCCAATAAAAGCAACATTCCTTGGCTAGTTTTTCAGAGAAAAAACCAAACAGCTATTCATCTTCACTAGAGGGTTTGGAGTTACAAATCAAGAGTAAAAGTATTTTAGGTAACAGTAGAGAAGTGTACCTGGAATACATCTGAAGAATAGTATTTAAGCTACCAACATGTGCCAAATTTCTCCTATAGGTGAGTCATTCATAAACCACAAGGGCTGTTTCTAACCTATATGGGAATTAAGACCAGCACACTGTTCTCAATGCTCCTCAGGAGGCTAGACAAGTAAAAGTTATTTTCAGTCTCTGTGAATCTTAAGAGATGCTTGTGGGAGACAAGCCAACCAACTTGACCTCACTTTCAAAATAAAGAGCTCCGAGATGACTACCACCACACAGGAGTAAAATCTTATGACAGATAATTCCAGACAGACATTCAGCTCAACACTCTGAAGCAGTCAAAAAAAAAAGCAAATTTTACAGTAGCAATTAAGACCACAAAGCATAAAATCATTATACCACTGGGGAAATCTAAGGCACGTGCACAGCATGAAAACTATATGTAGAGCTGGTTCCTTGCTTCAAGAAATGACACAGCAGGAAAAGGACAGAAAAGAGCAATAGGAAGGACTGGAAGTGCAGAGCAGTTTCTGAACAAAGATCCGCCCTGAAGAACAGTCCAGAAAAGAGGTGATTCAGCCAGCACACAATGCAAGTCCACAAAATCAACAGAGCGGGCAGAGGGGTAGAGTATGGACTGATTCTTCACTGTCACTCAAAGTACAAAAACTAGAACTAAGGGATATCAAATGAAGCTGATAGAAACCAGATGCAGAGAGAAAAAACAGCCGGAGCCGCGGGTGGCGCCGATCCCGATCCCGATCCCGATCCCGATCCCGCCCCGCGCTGGCGTTGCCCCAGGGCCCGGGGAGCGGGGCCGCCGGGAAGAGCCGCTCCCAGTCCGTCCGCAGGTGTGCGCTGGGCCCCGAGGAGCAGGTGAGGGCACCCCGGCTTGCTCTGGGGCCGGGGATCCGGGGGCCGCTCCTGAACCGCTTTCCAGAGGGCGGCACGAGACCGGGAGCGGCGCGATGGCCCAGGGCCGTCCTAAAACAGCTATTCTCCTCTCACCTGTTCCTGATGTTGCTCTCATTTGAATTCTCAGGCCATACCAGATTCTCAGGAGAGAAGCTCTCCAGTGCTCCCGGACAATGGCAGGTAAGAGCAAATGCAAATAAAAATGCTGCTCACTCCAGGCCTGGGCAAAGGGCACCTCAGGGATGGGGCCTCGCTGCCGTGTTAAGTTGTGACTTTGAGGTCTTAACATTTCAAAACAACGAAAATAATTCAGTAAGTGATGCCTCGGAAAACTCCGATCTCCCCAAACACAGTGTCCAGGCGCCTTCAGCACCAGCGAAAGGAAAACAATCTGACAACTTTGCAGAATAAATCTCTTTCAGTGAATCAGTCAATCAATTACCACCTTTGGGAGCTTGTGGAATCTCCAGGTAGTGAGCTCCCTTTTTGCTGAGAGCCAGCAGAAACAGCAAAGCAGCAAAGAGGTCACTGCTCCTGATGTTCCAGACTAAGCTATGGAGCAAGGGTTTTCAGAGTTTATACATGCCTTGAATTCATGACAGTGTTTGACCTGCAAGTTTTAATAATGTTTTTTTGCAAAGCTCTTGTTTCATGGGCACTATGCCCCTTGGAGAAAGAATCACTACTTGTAAATTAAGTTAAAATGAGCTGTTGTCTCTTCAAACATTCAGCTCGGGTTCTATTAGTTATCCCTAACAGCCTAAACTTGCCTGTCACTTAGCAGGTGGTGCTCTGGGATGTACATCAGGAGCTGTGTCATGGAGAAACTGAGCTTAGGAGATGCCTGAAGCTTAGTGTTGGCAGTCAGGAACCAAGAGCTGCATGTCTTGTAAATCCAGTCATTTTCAACAGTCCCTGGGGATTTCTATCTCTGGTTATGTATAAACAATTACTACCCC